CTTCCATAAAGCGATGAGTAAACAAGTAAACAAGAAAAAGAATGTGCAAAGAAGAAAAAGGAAGGTGCATTAGTAAAAAAAAAAATAAAGTACTTATAAAAATGTGTATATACAGACAGCAGATACCTGTTGCTACTCTGAACTTCCTTTTCAAAAAGGTACTTCTCTAATAAAATTAGCCTGATTTCAATATTAATAACATGAATATTAAGAAAAGTAACTTACCCCAAGAAATTAAAACAGCACAAAGCGGTGGCCGACCAGCCTGATGCCACTTGGGAAGCACTTGCTAATGGTAACAAAAATATTACCCTCTCACCGGAGGAATGCTGCTCCCTGTCCTCCCCATGTATGGACGCACTTAAGACTATATATAGCACTTAGCCCCAAACCTTGTTCTCATTCTGCACTTTGGAGATGAAGAGCGTGCATCCATACCTGCAAACCCATTAAAGCATTAAGAGCTCCATCCACAGCGTTGATTACATTTAAGGAGTTCTGGAGAAAGGTTAAGAATCATTTTAAATGTCTGTGAACCACTTATGGAAATTGAATTTTCACACAGTATTTCATTTAAGAAATAAATCCATGTTACATGTTGCTAGTCCTCAGGAAGAGGCATCTCATCTTCAGTCTTAAAAACATTTTCTACAGCAGAGAAGAAAGGAGGTTGGAACAATTGGAACAATTGGCAGAGCCCAACACTGAAAGCTGTTGAGACCTTTTTAGGTTTCTTGAGACCATCTGTCCTCCTTGGTCCAACACTTGCAGGGAGCAGTCAGGGTATTTTTAACTGCAAGGCCTCTGATGCAGTGACACCCCCAATTCTTACTGTACAAGAGCCCAGCAGCTATTTATAATCACAGCAGTCTATTTAAAAATGAAAACGACTGAAGACACATGGAAAGAAACTTATGAGATGGAGCTAATGAAACTCAGATGAGACAGAAAACACAACAGTGGACTGAGAGGAGGACGGACGCCACCGTTGCCATGTGGCTTCACCGGAAAGCTCACGTTCCCTCCTGTTTAGAGGACACTATGCTTTCAGTACAGCAACCTATTAAACATGCTACACATGATCCTGCATGTCATTCTTACAGTCCTAAGGTATGCAATTTAGAAATGTTAGATTGTGGCGCCCCCTCGTGGTGATATCAAGAAAGACACTGTGGCCAGCATCAATACCCCTAACCATCTGACAGCACGTCTGAAGGAGGATGATGGAGGTTAACTTGAAGTTTAAAGAAACATTAGAGTTATGGGACCAACAAACAAACAAACTGAGACAGAGAGATGAAAAGAACAAACATACATAAAGAAAACCAGACCCAGAGCAGGTCTGTCACTGTTGGACTAGCACTTACTGCAAGTGTCCTGATGGACTGTCTCCAGAGGATCATCCATCACACATTCATGTGCTGAGCCTCCTGCAGTAACAAACCACAGTTTCTTTGCAGTCATAAATGAAATATACAACGAGTCTATGTTAACACATTTGTATAAACTGACAAAGACCCTGTATATGTCATATACTGTGCAGATTACTTCTAGTTTTGCTTAGAAAGGTGCTGATTCAGCTGTATGATCACTTTTAGAAGGTGTAGTTTGTGGTGCAGTTGTATGGTATTGCATCAGGCAGGCGCTACAGGTGCCTCAGCGACCACACACAGACTAAAAACAGCTTTTTCCCTGTAGCTGAACTGTTGACCATAACAGCCTCCATCCACTATACAGCTCTGCCTTACTCTCACTGTCCACATCACAGTTTTATTCATCTGTAACTCTATTTTACGTCTTGAACTTTTTTGCACTTCTGCTTAAAATCTACTCGTATTTCAAACAAACAGTTTGGTGTCAACTCCTGCTCAGTGCTGCCACCTGGTGTCTGCTCATGAGAAGTTGAAGTGGAGGATCAGCCGACTTCTTTGTCAAACTGTTTTTTCATTTTCTCTGTCTTATGTACAAAGATGGGAAACAAGAAAACGTGTCAGGGCTTGATCTTTATATACTTTTATATTTTTGGTGATAAGAATGATGAAAAACCTCAAACTGCTCTTCTCATAACAAGGTTACAAGGTGCTTTACAGGATATTTCAAGTCTAAGATAAGAAATCAATATAAAATGTAACAAACCAGGATTTCTTTATTGTTCTACCAACATAGGGAGAATGAAGATTTCCCAGTTTCCAGAAGTATCTAACATTCAGTTTTCAATTTGTAATGTTTGTTTACAAAGTTTTCAAAGGGTGAAAACAAAAACAGAGAGAAATATGTAAAGTTCAGTACAAAGCTCTAAAAGTGTCTCCATGACACAATGACAGTTAAATTAGTAAATTTATTTTTATTGTGGTGAATTTACTTGTTTAAACATGAACGGCAGTGACGCTCAGCTGTGCTGTGTTCTACCAACTGATCTGAGAAAGAAAACATGAAGCAGAGTTACATTTAAGGACGTTGGTGTATCCTTTGACCGTTGCAGGCTTTTTTTTAGGACAGAAACTCTCTCTGACTTCTGTTAGCAGCAGCTCACACTCCACAGAAAAAGCCTGTCGTGACATAAAATGTCAAACACAGGACAACTACACGAGTAAAGCAGGACAGGCAGACCCTCACTGAGGGGTATTTGCAGGACATCAAAACTGATGATCAGTGTGTGTTTGTGCAACTTGGCGGGTTCCACTCTCCTCCTCTCTCAGGCCCCAGCACACAGCAGGTCTGTAGTTTGGATAAAAGAGTTCAGTGGAGCATGATAACAGGATGAGCAGGATGTCCAGGAGGTTTGAGGGGCCTCATTTATATTCACTTCTGACTATAAACTTTATGGACTTTTAGACTGTGGGAGCGTAGACACTGGCTTTTATTTTGAAAAAACAAACAAACATTTATTTGCTTTGATTCTTGGAGTTCTGTGTTTCCATTGTAACCAAGTAAGTATAGCAGCGGTGATGAATGCCAACCTTTACCCCAGTGGGATGTCGGGATAGTGACGTGCACTCTTCAGTCCAACACTGGGGCTGCTACTCTAGATATTCTAGTCACCCAGGGGACAACTCCACACCACTTGGGGGACCCCGTCACTTTTCCTCTAATGCACCAAACTTCAGTTTAGACAACATATCTGGAAGTTTACTTTAAATACTCCTGTATTCCAAAGGAAGGTTTGTAACATTTCGCTGACTTTGTGACTTCTTCTAGCGCCACCATCGGGTCAGACAGGAAATATTCCTATAGGATAAACTTTCTGTTTCAATGATCCCAAGGTCTTTCTTCTAGCGTCAGTTATAGTCAACATTTCTCACAACATCCACTAATATCAGTTCAAACTGATGGAGCTGCTGTGAGTAATGTTCAAGTTAACATCAGGACAAAAAAGGATTGTTAAAAAGATGAAGCCGTAGGAACAGCAGCACTTTTTCCCCATGTTGAGTGATTTTGTGGCACATACTCAACATGGAGATGTCTTGCTTCTTACACAGCTCATCTTCTGTGCGAGTATCAGGATCTGGAGAGTCATTACAGAGGATACGTGCACCCCGAACCCTGTGTCTAATCCGGCCGTTAATCCTGTTTTAGTTTGTGTGAGAGAGCGAGTTCACCTCCCAAAGAACACTGTAAACTGTAAACTTCCATGGACTCTAAAAGCCGACAGCTTAGCTCTGTTCAGACACATTTTATCATTCAAACACAAAATAAACAAACTACAATAAAATATTCAATATCATTTTTTAAATTTTATACATTCTATTTATCTATAAATAGTCCTCGTGTGCCTTTGGTTCCTCACCAAATGTGTGCATTTGCTTTAAAGCATCATGTGTTGATTTCACTGACAGCAGGTTGTACTGGGTTTGTGTGGCAGCAGAGGGAGAGAGAGGGTCAGAGCGAACACCGACATGGCGACACAAATGAAGGTGACAAGTAAAGGTCACCTTGAAGCAGCCATGACAGCAGCCAGGAGATCCTGAATAAATGCTGGCTTCACCCTCCTCCCTCTCTCCTGAGCTGCTCCTTTGGCTCCCAGGAGGGGACAGAGTGTACAGGCTAAGTGCTCTTTTCATTCATGCCTTTACTGACTGCAGCCTGCAGAAGATGGGACAGAAGAAGAGGGGGTGGGTGAGAAAGAGGAGTTAAGGAGGGAAGTCCT